CCGCCGTCTCTCTTGTTTTCCACTAAAAAGCTACCGGCAAATCCATATCCACCGCCTCCTTCATCCACATCCGCCTTCCAGGTGTAGATCCATAGGATAATTATGATGTTGTAAACCGGTGAAACCATGGAGTCAGCCGGCGGCGCCGCGTCGGGGCGGAGGAAGTCGTTGTTGCGCGAGAGAGAGAAAAATCGGAGAGGAGATAGGCGGCAGAGGGCGATTGCGGCGAAGATTTACGCGGGGCTTAGGGCGCAGGGGAAATACAATCTCCCAAAACACGGAGACTCTAACGAGGTGCTCAAAGTCCTATGTGTGGAAGCCGGGTGACCGGTCGAGCCTGGCGGCACGACTTATCGGAAGGTGAATTTTTCGAATTTGGGGATTTTTTTGTTCAAGCAATTTTTTTTTTTATTTTTTTTTTTAATTTTAGATTGGCTTTGTTGTTAGCAGTGGGGGATCCTTGAAGCACTGTTGGGTTTATTTGTTTGTTATTATTATTATTTTTTTTAAATATATTGATGTTGTTTGGATCTATGTGTTTAGTGGACGAATTTCTCTAATTTGGAATTTGTGATATTCTTCTTCTTCTTCTTCTAATTTGGAATTTATCTTATAAGTTTGTATCTGCTTGATGGATGAACCTCAAATTAAGAAGGTTATGTTTAGTTTTCCAGATAAAAAAAAAATATATATATTATTTCAATTGTTTGCAAAGTGTTTGGTGTTCTCTTCAATAGCCAGCTTGATGAATGAAACTCAAATCAAGAACATTAATGTTTTAGTTGCCCAAATAAGAAAATTCCTTCTTTCAACTTCATGAGTTTTAAAGTTAGTATTTACTTGCATGGTGTCTTGTTATTGATGCTTACTTGATAACAACCAAAAACGCTAACATAATTTTGCTATTGATGCTTACTTCGTGAGTATACTGATGATGGACTTAAAATGTGTAAACGGAAATTTCATAGCCGGGATTGTTTATTTGTCATGATTTATAAGGATTTATAAGCTATTTTGACTCACATTAGTTTATATGAGATTTATAATGTATTTCACTAAGTTTGCAAATTGGTCACGAACTCAACACACTAATGAAAAAAACTACTAATACACTTCATCTCATTAAAAGACACACTTCATCTAATTGAATGATTATACATGATTACTCTAAATTCTACATATATGTTTTAACTTCCATTATTTCTCAATCAAATCACGCGTCAATGATCCACGTGACATGATAGACATGGAGAATTAAAGAAATCACGATTACTAAAATAGTACCAATTTTGACAGAAATAGTACCGATTCTTCTTCTGCGTAGTACCTGTTTTTAATCACTTAGTACCTACTTTTGGTCAACGAAAATAAATTACTTCAATTTTGGTTAACATTTGCAAAATTAGTACCAAACCTAGAGTAATATAGTACCAGCTTTATGGTGTTATAGTACAAGATATCAGGTCTTCAGTACCTATTCCGACGACACTGAATTTTTGTCTCTAATGATGTATATATGACCCATTATCACTCTCACATTAGTTTAATTAAGTTTAATCACAATTTATAATGTGTTTAATTAAGGTTAATCGCAAATTAGTAACGAACTCAATACACTAATGAAAAAGCACTATTAATACACTCGCCTCATTAAAAGACACACTTTATCTCATTGAATGATCATACATGACTACTCCAAATTTTACCTATATGTTTTAACTT